CAGATATTTGGGAGGTTTTTTAATGGGTCTTTTCCTCTGTGGTAACAACACTGAATAAAGAAGTTTCACATTAAATTCAGTGTTTTCCCAATGCAGCTCATCAAGGAAGGCAAGGCAAGGCAAGGCAAGTTTATTTGTAGAGCACAATTCGTAAACAAAGTAATTCAAAGTGCTTTACAGAACAAGAAAATGCATTAAAATCACAATACAAAATAAAAACATAAATAATCATTATAAAATGAACTTTAAAAGAGAAGAGTGCAGATAAGATCCTTTCAGTCAGATGCACAGTGAAATAGAGCTGTTTTGAGCCTAGATTTGAACATTGTCAGAGTAGAGGCCTGTCTCACATCTTCAGAAAGACTGTTCCAGATTTTAGCTGCATAAAAGGAAGGGCTGCTAACTTCACTGGCTGATATGGAAAAACACAAATGAACCCATTTAGAGGCAGTTTGGTTTGTCCGTTCTGGACTGCTGTAGAAACATGGCGGTGCGGGGCGTCGGTGGCTTAGTGGTAGAGCAGGCACCCCATGTACAAGGCTGTTACTGCAGCGGCCCGGGTTCGAATCCAGCCTGTGGCCCTTTGCTGCATGTCACTCCCTCTCTCTCCCCCCTTCACGCTTGTCTGTCCTGTCAAATAAAGGCTGAAAAAATACCCAAAAAATATCTTTAAAAAAAAAAAAGAAACATGGCGGTGCAACATAGCAGTCTCCGCGGACGAGGACGAGGTGTGTCATAGAAATTTATGATAACCACACATTATTATTGCACTATCAAACTGGGCCTATACAAAAAGTCATGAATGAATTTTTAAACTGACTGTATCAGTATGTCGTGTGCACCCATTTCCTAATAAAGAAGCAAACTTCATTTAAATTAAAAAACATTCATGTCGCTGTTTGCGTGAGAGAATGTGTGTGACACATCACATTATCTTGCATTATTTACCATTTAAATGGATGTTTCATTTGTGCTTTGATGTAATTTTAAAAAGTTTAAAATGAATTCTTAAATCATTCTGATTTAACGCACACAACAATTCTTACTTTCAGGTGATTAAACACTAAAGAAAACATACTTATTACATTTAATTTCTTCCAACATATCCCCCCTAAATCCTACACACTGACCTTTCAGTATGAAATGAGAACAGAGACACAGAAATAAAGAGAGACAGACAGACATGGTGAGAGATAAAAACACAGAGAGGGAGAGAGACATTGCCAGAGAGTGTGAACATGCCTGTGAACCATGAGAGAGGGATATGGAGAGAGAGACAGAGAGAGGAGGGGATTGTTGCAAACAGGGATTTGCAGCAGAGGGGAAAGAAAGAAAGGGGGCAGTGGCACTCAGTGACAGAGTGCTATACACACTCACATGCGCGCACACACACACACACACACACACACACACACTCTCTGTTTCCTCTGTGTCTCTTTCCAAACGTGTCAGTCAACCAGTCAGTTGATTATTTTTGTGTGTGTGTGTGTGGTGGGGGGATGTTGAAAAGAGCTCGAAACCATCCTTCATCTCTATGACCGACGGTAAGATCATTTCATTCACTTTGACTCTCTCGTCAGGCCTTTATCTTTTCATTCTACTTTTTTCTCTCTCGCATGTGTATGTGTGCGTGTTGCTCTTTTCTTTTTTTTTGGCTGGCTTTTTGCCGTGACTCTGGTCCAGATCCAGATTGAGGCCTCCATGAAGCCCCGTCACTGTTTGCTTTCTTTTACAATCCATTTTGAACCACGGGGGGCGAAACTAATGAGCTGTGCAGCCGAGGCGCAAGTCAAAGGTGGACTTTTAATGAGATGTTCATTTAGTGCTTAAAACTATTACATTTGAGGCCTGTAATCAGTGTTGTTGGAGGAAATAACTTTGCTCTTCTATGGCTTTCTTTGATGTAGTCACCACTGTGACTAATACTGACAATATTCAACTTGCCATTGATATTCTGAGGAGATACTTGGCCTTTTTCAGTTTGTTAACTGTGTATGAATGTTTTGAATTCTTAGATAAATGTTTAACTATTTGTGAGATTGAAAACAGGATAAAATCTTAGTTATTCTATAGTCTTTTTTTAATTGTAAAACTTTTCAGTATATTTCCATGCAGAAGAAAAGTTTGTGATCTTAAATCTGATCTGAAACTTAACATAAAAAGAGCATTTTGATAAATAAGGTCAGCACCAGCTTCAGCTATAAAATAAACTTTAGTTTCACCCTCCGGTTGTATAAAAATGTGTCTGAATTCATCTGAGAAAGTCTCCGGATTAAAGCCTGCACCTGTTGATAATTGGATTTGGTTTGTGAGACTTGTGGATCTTTCTGTCAAAAATGATTAAGCCCTCTGAATTCTTTCGCTTCAGTCGGTTACGTGTTCAGTAGGCAGATCTTTCCAGAAATATTACATTATATCTATTGTGTGCGTGATTACATTAGCGCAATAACCTGCAATCATTTCCACACAGAGATGAATACAACACTTGGCAGGCGGAAGATGATGGATTTTTTTTTTCTGATGTGTTTCTCTCACACACATTCTTGCAGTGCTCCCTTTCACAGATGAGATTTGGCTACAGAGAGGCAACGTGAGGATTACTGTCTGACACTCTCATAAAATGAAGCGACAGAAGTTATTGAACACGCAGAGGCACAGATTAGGAAGTTTTAAGTGCTTTGTGGAAGTTAAGTGAGCTAAAGAAGTTCTGGTTTGTCTGTACACGTCACAAACTTTTGCAAGTAAACATGCACGTGTACGTGAGTGTGCATGCGTTTATAGTCCTATACGTGTGTGTATAAGGTGTTAGGAAGGGAGGGGGGGTGCTGCAGATTAGTGTCTTAATATAACACATTAACAGGCCTGACACACAGACTCAGACTGTCTAACTTCATGTTGAACTAAGTCACATGGATCTTTTCGTCAAAGCATTTATAGTGCGCTGTGAGGAAACACGTCAGACATCTAACTGTGTTTGATTTAAAGGAAGGTTTATATTCAATGTAATGACACGAGCTTAACTCTTAGTCAGTAAATATTCATTATAACAAATGTCCCTTCTTAATAAGGCTTAACAATTTTTGGGTTGCCAGGTTGTCGGAAATCCTCTCCAGCATTTTCAACAACCTGGAAAGTTCTTCGTCCTGTAAGTTCGCTACATTTATTGAGTAGTACTCTTAAGTAGACTTGATACATTAACTTACTGTGATAAGTTAATGTTAATATTGTTAATACGTAAATTTTAGTGGTCAAACAGTTCATTTAAAGGTCCAGCATGTAGGATATGGGGGGGGGGGGGTTGATATTGGCAGAAATTGAATATAATGTAATGAGTATGTTTTCTTTCGTATATAATCACCTGAAAATAAGATTTTTTGTTTTCATTACGTTAGAATGAGGTGTTTATATCTACATAGGGAGCAGGTCCTTGTCTATGGAGATCGCCATGTTGCATTGCCATGTTTCTACAGTAGCCCAGAATGGACACAAACTGGCTCTAGATAGGGCCATTTGCATTTTCCCATTTTCCCTGCAGTTAGCAGCCACTCAGTGACAAGCAGCACTGAAAAAACAGAATTTTTTTTTAACGTTAAACTGCCTTATTCAGTGTTCTTACCAGTTTTAATCACTGTGTCCGTTTGTTTTGGAGAGGAAGAGACCTCTGCAGATAATTTGGCTCCCAGTAAAAACCTCCTGAACAATGGACACCGAAAGAATTCTAACCGGGAGAGGTTTCAGCTGGTTGCTCACTGCTAGATGCCTCTATGTCCCCCTAAATCTTACACACTGGACCTTTAAATGCCCTCATCTTTCAAAATCCTCCTGAACAATGAACACTAAAGAAATTCTAACAGGGAGAAGTTTCAGCTGGTTGCAATCTGCAGTCCTCACCACTAGATGTCACTAACCCCCCTCCCTCTTACACACTGTTTCTTTAAGGAGGTTTTTGTATTAAATTAAGAGCTGGCTAAAAAGACAAAGCTAGTATAATACTGGAGGAGGATTTTTCACAACCTGGCAACCAGGAAGTTTTCATTCTAAATGGCTTGAAGAGCAGCAGCGATTCCCAACTGATCCAGCCACAGGGTCCAGATTTCTTCTTAGTCATTAGTTCAAGTTCCACACAGTTTAATACATTTAGTTCCATACCTGCTTTTGGCCATGTCAAGTTAGTTTGCTATCTCTGTTAAGTAGCTTTCCGTTGTGTTTGCGAGTCACATGATCCACTTTTGGACTCCAACCCACCAGCTGGGAACCACTGCTATAGAGCAGTAGTGAATGATTAAAGGGTACTGCACCAGTTTAACACATCAAAGTCTGCAAAAAGTTTATGGCGTAACTGTGCATGTAGGGAAAAAAGTTGTACAAAGCATCGTGTGGCTCCAGCTGGAGCCTGATAAATCACCTCAAGTGACATCACTTGAGTCAGATTTGGTTGGTGCTGAAGACCACAGGTTTAAATAATTTTTTCAATCTAAGCTTACTAGGCCTCTATAACCCACCCCTTCTTATCTCTGCTTGAGGCTAGCGGCTCAAGGCTACTTTAGCCTCTGCTAGCATAAGACACCTGAATCTCCAACTGACCTGCCTGCAGTTGAGTGGGTGGGGTGAGGGGTTGTGGGTAATGTAGACGGAAGTTTTGACAAGAAAGAAGAACACGTGGAATAATTAAAGCATTATACAAGTACTCTTTTAAAAACAATTAATAAAGCCATTAGTCTACAGCTTATAGATCCGTTATAAATGATGTCATAGATCTTTAACTAAAACACATGTAACACCATCTTGTTTTCATTCTTTCTTTCCTTCAGGACAACTGAAACAGAGACAAGGACACAGGGACGTACAGTTTCTCACCGAGGAAACTCACACACCAGTCTACTTCCTGACATCACCCCTGCTGCTGTCTATGAGCTGCTCTGAGGCAGAGGATTGGACTTTCCAACAATCCTGACATACGGAAAAACCCTGTTGAAGCTCCCACCAGCAGCAGCGGCAGCAGCAGCAGACACCATGTCCTCTCCTTCCCTCCCCATGCCCTCTCTCCCTCCCAGCCCTCTGGCTATGGAGTACCTAAACGACTTTGACCTCCTCAAGTTTGAGGTGAAACCTGACACCCCTCCGCTCCCTCCCCCATGTGCGTATCCAAAATCTGGCCTCCCCCACGACCCCTCCAGTTCTCCGTACACCAGCCATCCTCCACAGGACTCCAGTTTGAGCTCCAGCCCTTACAACTCGCTGCCACCTTCACCAACGCTCAGCGATGCCCACCCACCACCTTCGGGCTCCTCCTCCCTCTCTTCATCATCCTCCTCCATCTCTTTCCCCCTCTCCATCTCCAACAGCTTCACCTCCGGCATCAGCTCCGGCTCTCAGGGGAATGTGGAAGGCAGTCCGGCCCACGGCGGGCCTCAGGGTCCCACCCCAGCCTCGCTGGAGGACCTGATCTGGCTGGCAGCACTGCAGCAACAGTTTGGAGGGGAAGTGACGGGGCCCGCCACTTTGCTGGGGGCCTTGGGGGGAGTGCCAGAGCGAGGGGACAGAGAGAGGGGGCCGGTCAATGGCTTTCTGGGGTGTGAGGATGCTGTGGAGGCTTTACTGAACTCAGCTGCTGCAGCTGTCAGCTCACAGGTAACAGTCTGTCATTTCTTCTTGATGATTCTTATGAATGTTGTCATAAAAAGACCTGACTCTTATGTGCCTCTTCATCCTCTTCCATGCTCCCCCTCTCCTCTTTAGTTTCCAGGGCTTTCTCAGAGTTCGAGCAGTAACCTGGGAGACTCCAGCAGCGACAGCGGGGCCGACATCTCCTGCCCCAAAGGGACAGACATGTGCCATCGCCCGCTCGTCTTCCTCTCATCTGCCCCGCCCTCTCTCCCAAACGCCGCCCCCACCTCAGCTCCCTACCCACAACCCCTCAGCCCCCAGGGTCGCCTTCATCACCACCAGCATCACCATCATCAGCACCACCCACACCACCCCATGCATGGCAGCCATCACCATCATCACCACCCACAACTTAATCAGGTACGCTCATCGGTCCTGATCAGGTGAAATAGGTTAATAGTTGAATGACGATCAACAGGAAGTGTTCGTCAATAAAACATGGGAGATTTCTGGAGGTGGAAGAACTGAGCAGTGACACTTGTTGCGTTAGAGGGCTGAGCGGAAGGAGAGAGGGATTGCACAGTGAAGGATTAGGATTAGGACATTAGAACATTGTTATTAATGTCTGTGTCTATCTGAAGCATCACTTTAAGGATCGCTCTCTGTGTGGCAACAAGTAGAGCTAAATCACTGGTGCAAAGTCTCCAATGAAAAACATGCATTTATCTGCTATACTTTACCCCCTCCTCCATTTAACATTTATAACCACCACACAAGCATCTAATAAATGGTTTATAACACACTATAATGTCGTTGTAATCGTACATGAGGACAGCTTTAAGTGTTTATTAATGTACAATAGTTGTCCTCAGTTATAACGCCTCCTATAGAGAAATATTTTATATCATTAACGCCAAGCAGTTAAAGTTGTCAATAAATATATTAATAAACAATTATATTTGCTTACTACTCTGCTGTGTTAAAAAACATTTATTAAACACTTATGTGCTGCTTATAAATGCTACAAAATTTGGTAATTGATGTACTTAAATCTCTCTGTATTTCCTTTGCAGACCTTCTATAATGAGCTTCAGATGTTTACACGAGCCAGATCTTAATCTTAAAGCCAATATTACGGATGATTATTTAAGAACTAACACTTCAAATGATCTGATATGCTCGGAGGAAAAATCATTTGCTGTGAATAAAACTCAGTGTTGAGAGCTGAATGTAATTTCAATTAGGTAACTAAACTTTGTAATCTGGTCGATCAAGATGTCTGGGTGGATCTCTATGTGGAGCACAGTGTGAGCTTATGATAATATCTGCTATTATTGCTGTGCGTAATCCCGATAACTGTCACCCACACTCAGTCAGATTACATGACAGATTATAGACATGTGGTGCCGAAATGTGCCCCCTGACACACTCACACACACTCAGTGTAACACATCACATGTCCACCAGTCATGTATTTAAAGATGAATCCATTTTACACTCATCTAACTGTACACACTCATACATCACCTCCAGCATGTGTCTCGTTGCCAGTTAACATTAAACTACAGCATATTCTCTGTGTGTGTGTTTTCTCCATCTGTTGAGCAGTGCGGGGTGAATGAGCGCTTCTCTGATGAGCAGCTGGTGAGCCTGTCAGTGCGAGAGCTGAACCGACACCTGCGGGGAGTGAGTAAGGACGAGGTGGTGCGCTTGAAGCAGAAACGCCGCACGCTAAAGAACCGCGGCTATGCCCAGTCCTGCCGCTACAAGCGCTTACAGCATCGCCACGCTCTGGAGTCAGAGAAGCATGTGCTCACGCAACAGGTACATCCAAGGTTTTTCAGACCCCAAACTTAATCATAAATCTAAACTCATCGTAAAAGTGTAAAGAGACAACTTTAAACTTTCATCCCCCTAGTGTTTCCTAGTGGTATTGCTGTTCGTGCCACTGTCGCTTTCTGTTTTACTTTGAGCCTAGCAAAGCGGCTCTTTTTCCTTTGCTAGGTTGAGTTTCCACAGTTATTTGAGTTGTTCCACCATCTTACATTGATACTCATTAGTAACTGGGGGTAGCTACCGATAGCTACCTGTGGATGTATAAAGAGAACTGGATATAGTGTTGAAGGTTGGACCCCGTTCCAATGAAAGCTGCTCAGAGGCACATGGAGCCAGATCTTGTACAACCTGGGGCCCACAGAGCAAATGCACCAGAGACTTCCGCCAGCTGGGATAAAATTATTAAACCGTGCAGCTCCTCTAGACTTTCGGAATGTTATCGAAGCAAATTGATGAAATCCTGATAGTCAAATGAGTCATTTTGTGGGGGTTGTGACGCTCTTAAAAATGTATCTACTGATTTAGAGATGTTGCTTTACAATGTAAGTCTATGGGGTAAAGTATTTTTAGGCCCAATGGCATCACATGACGGACCAAGAAGTTGTAATTCCATGACTTGGCCACTATGTCAAATTGGCTTCAAAGCCCAGTGGTGCTCCTGGAGGCTTGTAGCATGGATGTATAAAGAGACCTACAGACAGCTCATGAAGCCAAAAATGCTCAGTTTTTGAGTATGAAATTACCCAGACCCAGAGGTGGGTAGAGTAGCCAAATATTGTACTCAAGTAAGAGTACTGATGCTTTAGAACAAAATTACTCAAGTAAAAGTAAAAAGTAGTCATCCAAATAATTACTTGAGTAAGAGTAAAAGAGTATTTGGTGAAAAAACTACTCAAGTACTGAGTAACTGTTGAGTAACGTCTGATTTATTTGTAAAATAAGAACATGAACGTAATCAATCAA